ACGAGACACCAGCCGAGTCCACCGAGAGCGCTGTCGAGACCGCTCCAGTCCCCGCGCCAGAAGCAGCACCTGCCCAGCCTGCCGAGAACCCGGACAAGGCTACTACAGGCGCGCAGGAGGATGTCGCCCTGAGACCTGCCGCGCCCACCGAGGAGGCTGTCGTGGACGAAGACAAGCCTGCTCTGCCGGACGCTGCCGTCGATGACGATGCCGTTGTTGCTGAGGAGAACGCCATCGCAGAGGAGGCCGCTGTCATCGAGGAAGCTGCCATTGCAGAGGAAGCCGAAGCTGTGCAAGCTGAAGCTGCTGCCACCGAGGAGCCCTCTGCCCCGGCCCCAGCCGCTGCTCAGCCCGCCGAGAATACAGACAAGGCAGTGACGGGTGCTCAAGAGGAGCTTGCTCTACGACCTGCTGCGCCTGCCGACGAAGCCGCTGTTCCCGACGCGACCGCTCCTGCGCCGGCTGAAGCAGTAATGGCCCCGAGCACCGAACCTGCTTCAGAAGCAGCCACACCTGTTGTAACCAAGGCCAAGGCTAATGGAACTCCTGGGCTCAAGAAGCCCGAGATCAGGAAGCCCGCTGCCATCTCGACTGCCAAACCTGCCAAGGCTCCCGCCGCCCCTGCCAAAAGCCCGCTACCTAAAGCAGCACCCAAGACCCCTACGAAACCCAAGACGGCCGCACCCACCATCAAGCCTAGTCCAGCTGCGAAGACCACAAAGCCCGCAGCCCCCAAGGAGCCTGTCAAGGCCCCCGTTGCCAAGGCTCCCACAACAAAGGTTCCAGCCGCAAAGGTTCCAACTGCTAAGACCAGCCGCACCTCTCTGCGACCTGCAACATCTGCGTCCTCAGCGACGGCATCCACTGCTGCTGCTGCCTCCAAGACCAAGCCTGCGGCCGCACCTGTGGAGAACAAGAAGCCTGCCATTCCCAAGCCCACTACTTCCGCCCCCCGCAAAAGGTATGACAGAGCCACGTGGGACAATGCGCCAATGCTAACAACGCTACAGCACGTCCCCAACAGGCTTTAAGAAGCCAGCCCCAAAGTCTCCTACTCGTCCAGTCGGTTTACCAACCCGTCTGACTGCGCCGACGGCTGCCTCGGCTGCCAAACATGGCGAGGAGCCCAAGGTCACACGCAAGCCCTCCACCAACACCCGTCCTACACCCAAGGCCCCGGCACCAAAGACTTCGCGCCCTTCCATCGCACCCCCTGCGCCCAAACGACCTGAATCGCGCACCTCAACCGCAAGTGCTGCTCCTAAAGGAGGCTTCCTCGAGCGCATGATGCGACCCACGGCCGCCAGCTCCAGCAAGACACACGATAAGCCCCATGAAAAGCCGTCATCACCACCGCGTAAGGCTCCTGCCGCTTCCAAGATCGGCACTCTACAAAAGGGGAAGAAGAAGGCGGAAGAGGTCGTGTCCAAGGCCAGAGCAGTGGTTACGAACGGAAATTCTGAGGAGCACAAGGATGGAGATGAGCCCGCAAAGGAATCTGAACATGGCGATCGGACAACCGAGGAGCCTATCGCCAATGAGCCAACACACGAATCGCAGAAACCAGCCACTCCAGTTCAAGAGGTAGACTCGTCAGTTGCAGAACTCCAGACACCCAACTTCCCAGAGGAGACGGTCCGGTAGACGAGGGCCATTATGCCTCTGACCTAGGCGTATACATTTCTCAAATCGTATGTATTCCTGCAACACTTGGTCAAGTCTTAGGTTGCCGTACCATGCCATCTTGCACAACTATGGGCGATGTTATGTGCGCGGAGCTGTATGGCTCCCATCTTCTTTCACTTCTCAACAGCATTTTCTGGAGCGATTGTTTGGCGTAACTGATATTTGGGCGGATACCTAAGGACATGGAGCGGAGGTGGGTTTGGATAGGACTATTGCGTGCATAGTTGTTCTTTAGCGATAGGCTTCGCAGAATCTGGCAGACATCACTATTAGATTACAATCCCATTCTTCACTCCAAGATGGCTTTCTGTCTACTTGTCCACTCGTGCAATGCCTATGGTAGGGTGGGCGGGCACACGTCGACACGTGACTGGCACCTCCGCCGAAACTCCGATGGCCCAACTTTTTCCTGGCGGGCAATTCGACATTGCGAAGCGACAGCAGACCCCGCGTCGCCCCTTTGTTCAAGATGAGGGTTCAGTCTCTTTTCCGGGCGCAAGCACTTGCCACGAGCAGTCTTCGCTCTTCAGCACGCTCGGTTGCGACGCCTTCACGATGCGCTCTTTCGACCATTGCGGCAACGCGCACGCCCTATACCAACGGCACCAAGACAGACACATGGATAGGGGCCCACACCACGAAGCCACAACGAAGATGGCAGTCTGCGGCTGCGCAAGTGTATGTGCTGCCATGTTTGTTCTGTGACGGCCAGAGAGCAATGGAAGGCTGATTGAACGTCATATAGGCTGGAGCAAGCAAAGGAAGACCCCTCTACCTTGACGCAAGAGAAAATCGTCGAGAACCTAGACCCTGTCGAATGGGAGCGACTATCGCGAGTGCGAAACATCGGCATCGCAGCACACATCGACTCCGGCAAGACCACCGCCACCGAACGCGTCCTCTTCTACACCGGCCGAATCAACGCCATACACGAGGTACGCGGCAAAGATGCTGTGGGTGCCAAGATGGACTCTATGGATCTCGAGCGTGAGAAGGGCATCACTATCCAGTCTGCTGCGACCTTCTGTGACTGGATCAAGAAGGACGATGAAGGAAAGGACCAGAAATACCACATCAACTTGATTGACACCCCCGGTCACATCGACTTTACAATCGAGGTAGAGAGAGCACTGCGAGTCCTTGATGGAGCCGTCATGATCCTGTGTGCTGTCAGCGGAGTGCAAAGTCAGACCATCACAGTCGACAGGCAGATGAGGCGGTACAACATTCCAAGGATTTCCTTTGTGAACAAGATGGATCGTATGGGAGCCAACCCGTGGAAGGCTGTCGAACAGATCAACCAGAAGCTTCGCATACCGGCTGCGGCTCTCCAAGTACCCATCGGCCGCGAGGATGGCTTTTTGGGTGTTGTGGATCTGGTCAGGATGAAGGCGATTTACAACGAAGGACCCAAGGGCGAGACCATTAGGGAGACCGACGAGATACCTGCGGATATTGTTGAGCTCTGCAAGGAGAAGAGGCAGAAGCTCATCGAAACACTTGCAGATGTCGACGATGAGATCGCAGAGCTTTTCTTGGACGAGCAGGAACCGACAATTCACCAGATCAAGGCTGCGATTCGACGAGCCACCATCTCCCTCAAGTTCACCCCGGTTATGATGGGCTCCGCGCTTGCAGACAAATCCGTCCAACCAATGCTCGACGCTGTTTGCGACTACCTACCAAACCCCTCCGAAGTCGAGAACATGGCACTGGACAAGAAGCGAGCAGAGGCACCGGTCAAGCTGGTATCATACAACTCTTTGCCATTTGTCGGTCTGGCTTTCAAGCTAGAAGAAAGTAGTTTTGGACAATTGACATACATCCGTGTGTACCAGGGTACGCTCAGAAAGGGAATGAATGTATTCAACGCGAGGTCAGACAAGAAGGTCAGGATACCGAAGATTGTGCGCATGCACTCCAACGACATGGAGGAAATCCAGGAAATTGGTGCTGGAGAAATCTGTGCCGTGTTCGGTGTTGACTGCGCGTCTGGAGATACCTTCACTGACGGTAATCTTGGATACACCATGGTAAGACTTTAAGACTATTGTTATCATATCTTCAAGCTGACACGATAGACCTCCATGTTCGTACCCGAACCCGTCATCTCCCTATCAATCAAGCCCAAGCACACCAAAGACACACCCAACTTTAGCAAAGCCATGAGCCGCTTCACGCGCGAAGACCCTACATTCCGAGTCCATACCGACCCCGAATCGCAAGAGACCATCATCTCCGGTATGGGAGAACTACATCTGGACATCTATGTCGAGCGCATGCGCCGCGAATACCGCGTCGAGTGCGAAACCGGACAACCACAAGTCGCCTACCGCGAGACAATGACCAAGCGCGTCAACTTCGACCACACGCTCAAGAAGCAGAGTGGTGGGTCAGGAGATTACGCGCGAGTAGTCGGCTGGATGGAGCCAAGCGAAGCTGCTGGTGAGAACAAGTTCGAGCAACAGATTTCCGGAGGCACCATCTCCGAGAAGTTCCTCTTCGCCTGTGAAAAGGGCTTCATGGCCTCCACGGCCAAGGGCCCGCTTCTCGGCCATAAGGTTTTGGGTACTTCCATGATCATCAACGACGGAGCTACCCACGCTGTCGATTCCTCGGAAATGGCCTTCAAAATGGCCACCCAGCAAGCTTTCCGCAAAGCTTTCCAGGCCGGTGCGCCTCAGGTACTTGAGCCGCTTATGAAGACGACCATCACGGCGCCGAATGAGTTCCAGGGTTCTGTTGTTGGTCTTCTGAATAAGCGCAATGCTGTTATCAACGATACGGAGATTGGTCCGGAGGACTTTACTGTCTATGCGGATTGCAGTTTGAACAGCATGTTTGGCTTTAGCAGCCAGTTGCGTGCTAGTACGCAGGGTAAGGGGGAGTTTAGCATGGAGTTTAGCCATTACAGTCCCGCGCCGCCGCAGCTGCAGAAGGAGCTTGTGGCAAAGTACGAGAAGGAACAGCAGGCTAGGAATGCGTAAGATTAGCCTCCTAAGCTCAATCGGAGTTGAAACAGGATAGGGGCCGTGGAAAAGCTCGGTGTTGGTACAACGAGCTCCCTGGATGATTCGAGTGCTGATGACATACATCGATTTATCTACATTGGCGGACGTCTGGCGTATTCTTGTGGGATTGGTAGAAAGGTGTAGAAGTATTGTACATGTAATGTTGTAAACAACACCGCCATATGACGACGAATGATATCCCCTCAACAGCTCCATCCAGCTCCATCCAGCTGCTTCTCCGTCTTCTTCTTCAATTCAACAAACCCAGGTAGAACCAATGTAACTTACCCCTTCCTCCAAAACCTACTCAACGTCCAACCCCGGCCTCATCGTCTTCCTCACAAACGCCCTCCTAATCGCAAGACTAACCTGCGTCCACCCCACCACTTCATTATGCCCTCCATACCTCACAACCTCCAACTCCACCATCCTATCTCCCTTGTCGTCCTCGACCTTCTTATACGCAAAAGCACCCCTCTTGACCCTATTCGCCCCTTGAATCGTTCTCCTCTCCTCCTCCGCCACAACCCCTTCTTCCGTCAACATTTGCGTAGCCAGTGGCTGGAACAACGCTTCAGATTCCCAGTACGTGATATCCTGGTCGTTTCGTGCGTGCAGGAGAGTAATGTGGAAACCGGACTTGTTGGCTGAGGCGGTGGAGATGAGGGCGCGTAGGCGGGTGAGGGTGGGCCAGTGGTCGACGATGCGAGTGGATAGATAGTTTGCTATCCTGGGGTAGCCTTGCAGTGGTTTTAGGATGGGGAGAACGCCGCCGATTTTGTAGGTCTTGAGGAGTTGGGGGAGCGAGGTGAAGGGGGCTACTAGGACGATGCCGGCGAAACCTTCAAAGTTACGGGATGGTTTGAATGTTACAGATGGGGATGTAATGGCCAATGGGAGGTGCTCGGAGGTGGAATTGGTGAAGTAGAGCGCGCTGGCGGCTGTTACGGCGGTGCCGAGGCTCTGGCCCAGGAGAACGGTGCGTGTGCTTGAATGAGAGAGGTCCGAGGTGATGTAGGAAATCAGGCTTAAGGCGTCGGCTATTAGACCGCTTTCAGTGGGGATATGCGGGGAGTGTGTGAGCGTGGAGAGACCGAAGCCCCGGTAGTCGCAGGTTACGAGGTGAGTTTTTGGGATGCCAGAGACGGAGCGGTAGGTTGAGGGGCGGTAACCTTGGGCTATGTGGCCAGCGTTCTGTTTGGGTGGATTAGAATGAGTGATAGATAAGCTGGAAATATTAAGAAGAGTTAACGGTGGATGAAGTGACGGAAGAATGAGGGAGAAACCATGTAAAACTAAGAAAGAAGAGTCGATATAGTCTGAGATGAGAGTTTGAGATGTGATAAGACCAAAGACTCTGGAAAGAAAGGGACAGCATGCCAAACCGAAAGTCAAGAATCGAAAGAAAGCACAACCTACACCATGAAAGTTGACCACAACCCTACTTTCCGGGTCGCTGCTCAACAGCTTCTCTCCTATCGTTCCCTTCAATTCCTCTGCAACTTCCCCCGAAACAGCAGCAGTAAAAAGCTCATGTTCATTCTCCAGATAAACATCTAGAGGAAGTACATGCCAGCAAAAGAGCTTCTCTTGATCCGCTGTAGTAAGCCAAAAGGGTTGTACTTGCCCCTCTACACATGGGTACTTAGTACAGCGATAGAACAAATCGAGGAAGAGTTACAGATGCACTTACTCGCAAAGCCGAATTCTTCGGGATTCGTCACGTTGTGGTAGAACCCCGTGTGAAATTTATGGGCATAGAGAGCGCTGAGAAGACATTAGAATCGACTCCAAACATCATCTCATCTGTCATGATGAGAGCAAAACGTACTGCCTTTGTACCGTGGGATTGACCAATAGGCCCACAAACGCGGCCCAGACAATGCCTAGAATGGCAAATGTCCAGTACGCTTTTGTAAAGATGGCTTTGAGGTTGGGCATGATTTCAGTCACAGGACGTGGTCTTGCGCTGCCTAAATACTTTATACTGTCGGGAATGTCGACGCAGAGAAAGTACTGCGACCGTAGCACTGGACTCAGGTAAAGCAAAAAGGATTATGGTGACGTTGCGGAAATGGAGCGCGCGAAGGGCACAGATGCATGGAGATAGGCAGCTGCGGGTGATCTAACTAGGATAAGCAGGCCGCAGCGAAGATCTTGGCATCGGAGTTGAGCGATGGCAGCTCCGGATCTCATGTGTAACGAAGAGCATGCTTCAGACAATACCGTCTCACGTATCTCGCAACCGTATATCAATGACACGCGATACCGGAGCAGAATGTGTGTAGTTTGACGCTAAGAAATGGGTATCATTTGTACTCATACACACCGCAAGACTATTCCAAGGATTCCACAATATCGGCACACGATCAGACGATCTCATACAAGACTCTTCTTAGGCCGTCCAGCTTTCTTCTTTTCTGCCATACTACTGGCAGACCCACCCATCCCTCCCATGGCGACGTCCTGAGTCGGCGTTGCAACCGCAGGCGTCACGTCGCCGCTCCTTATTCTCTTCTCTGGCAACTCATCGCCGTCTTTGGGCAGTCTGAAGGCTAGATACGTCTCCTCTGCCCTTTTGCACTTATCAAACACCTCGTTCATGTATTTATCCACGACATGCGGTGGTCGTATCGAGCGCGGCAAGGCGCTTGCGATTTCGTCGCCTTCATCGTGCTCGATCAGTAGAAGGACAGTAACTGGCTGGTAGAATTCAATGTTGTCTATCTCGTTCATCTCGTCAAAATCTTCGATTCGTTGGGGCGGTTTAGGCGGCACGAAGGTTGCCGAGGGGGCTGATGCGGCGGGTTGTATGGACGCAAAAGCAGGGTTGGTGGGGCTGGGTGTTGGTATGATGGCATTCGGTGGGGGTGCGTCAGGCATAGCATTAGTCGCAGTACCGAGAGTCGGAATCGGCGTTGGCATTGACTTTTGAGCAGAGGCAGACGGAGGTTTGACGACTGGATCCGGCCTTGGCTTCATCTTGGTGATGAGGAAGGACAGCTTTGCACCTGTGCCATTGGGAAGCCATTCCATGAAACTATACGAAGGGAAGTAAAACTTGTCTTCGCTGCCATGGACAAAACTGAAGACCAACGGGCGATATGTTGTCCTCGGGGGTGGGTTGTAGGTCGATAGTTGCGGCGGCGGGTGGTATTGCGGCGGTTTGCTGAAGTTGTTCGGATAGGGTGGATATGGCTGTTGTGTAGGCGAGGGTTGCTGCATCTGTCCCTGTGGCGGGACCGGACTGTACGGCTTGGGCGTGCTGGGCTGCAGAGGCTGTTGGACTGGCTGGACTGGGCGGGGAAGCGGAGGAGGAGCTGTGTGTTTCGGTGCTGGAGGCGGCGGCGTAGATTTGGGGGGTTGCGTTGGCGGAGTTGGTTTGGGCGCTTTTTCCTCCTTCTGCCTGGCCAGAATCGCCGTCAATTCGTTGATGTGTGTCTGGAAGAACTCGAGCTGCTCCTTGCTTGCCGAGCCAGCGGCGACTATCTTCATGACAGCCTTCAGCTCGGGATCTGTTCCTGCTCTCGCGGCGAGCATGTGTATGACGGGATCGGGGGCGGGGGCTGCGGGGGCCTGAGGCGGAGGCGCGGCCTGGACAGGTTTGGGGGGCTGGGGTGGGCGTGGCTGGGGCTTCTGCTGTATGGGCTGGCCACCCTGGTATTTGGTGTGTTGGTTGGGCTGGTTGTGGTTTGGCCAGGGAGCATAGGGCGATGGCGCGGGAGGCTTTTTCTGTGCTGGTCTGCCCACCTCGCGCGGGCCGTAGAGGCGAATAGGCAGCGTGTGCGGCTCTATGACGAGCTTCACGCTCACCCGGTCGGCACCGACCTGGGGGAAGTTCTTGAGCAGCTCCTTCTGTCTCGCCGTCTTGGCCTTGTCCTCGTCGGTGCGGTCGGCCAGCTTCTTGGGCTGGTTGAAGTGGGCATGGAAGGTGCGAAAGTTGGCGCCAGACAGCCAGACAGCTTTGGAGCGCTCGAAGGACGTCTCGAGGACGCGGCTCTGCTGGATCGTCTGCCATTCGCTCGATGGAAGGTGGAGGGGCTGTGGCTCGCGCAGTGTGGGCAGCGGCGCGCCGTCGACCAGCTGGAGGGGCAGCGTCTGTCGTGGGGGCAGCGGCGCGCCCTCAGCAACGGGCGTCGAGGGCGGCGCGTCTTTGACGGCGAGGCTGGTCCGCTTGCGCTTCAGGGCGGCTTTGGCGGCTTTGGCGGGCTTGTCGTTGGGCGTGTCGGGGGCAGCCGGGGCGGCGTCTTCGCGGGCGCGCGCCCTCGTCGACCGTCGGGGCTCAGACATGTCGTGTGCGGGTCGGGGTCGGGGTCGTGGCCATGGCCATGGTGTCGTGCACAAGGCTGTTGCTGTTGCTGCGGAGTTGCCCTGACGCGCTCCCGTGCAGCGGCGCGCTAGCCTCCGGCACTCCAGGGCTGCCTCACGCTCGCTGACGGCATGCGCTGCTACTTCGGCCTTGGCTGCAGGCTGCGAGATAAGCCCGAGCCTCTGTCCACAGCCCGGGTCGATATCCTTGCCTTCATGCAGCCTGACTCCGCTGCCTCCGCTGCCTCCGCTCGCCTCACGCTTCAGTCCAGAGCCATGTCATGTTGCAAGAGAGCAGACGAGCACGGGAGTTGGTGGTGGAATCAATCAAATTGTGCCTTCTACTGTCTAGTCGCACTACCCAAAAGAGAAAAGGAATGTGCCCTCAAACTGGAGAATGGTCCTGCTTCGCGCTTTCCCCTTTCTTTCAATCTGTTCTTCAATCTGTTCTTCAATCGAGTGCTTCCCGCTCAACGCAGTCCACCCCAACATGCTGCAGTAGCGACGCGAAAGCTCGCGCATTAAGCCTTCGCAGCATCCTTCCAGCGGGGCTTCAGCACAACTCTCCACTTGCCATCATGGAACTGCATCGTGATGAATTGCCGGAGTTGGATCTGCTGGTATCCAGCCTCCTCGAGAGCAAAGCGAGAAAGAAGATTGGCCGAGACTGTGCGCATCTCTGCGTATGCGAAGCTGGCCATGCATGTTAGTGCGCTGCTGCAGCAGAAGATGAGGGGCAAGGTAACATACTTTTGTCCGATACAATTGTGTCGGCCGTTGGAGAATGGAAAGTAAGCATCCAGACTACAATCTCACGTTAGAAAATGTCCACATCGAATCTCTCGTCTCATCACCAAGGGCGACTTACTCAGGTTCGGGTGCGTCCTCTCTTTCCTCACCTTCCAGCCACCGCTCCGGCCAGAACCTCTCCGCCTGAGGCCAGTACCTCTCATCACGATGGAGCGCTCTGTAGCTGGCCGACACAATCGTGTAAGGCGGAATCTCGTTGCCGTTGATGTTGTGGCCTTGGTCTGTGGTACGGCGACCCAGTTCCGAGGCAATGGGGTTCATACGCAGGTTCTCCTTCAGACAGGCTTCGAGGTAGCGATATTGTGGGTCTGTGCGCACCGTCTTTGAGTCTAGGATGGGGTCATTGGGGCCAAGGACGGGAAGAGAAGCGAGTAGCTTTTCGAGAGCGGCGGGGGTTCGTGCGAGTTCCACAAACAGGCATGCCATGGTTCCTAAGGCGCCTCGTTAGCTACTATGATGCGCGGTGGAGAGGGAAACTTGAAGGCCGCAACCTAGGAGCTAAGGAGTGGCAATGGGGCATGGACGAATCTAACGTACCAGACGTGGTTTCCGATCCAGCGAGAAGGAGCTCAGACATCTGATCGATGATGTCCTGGTTCGACATACGCTCTCCCGTGTCTGGTCGCGCGCCCTCGTCCAACATGTGCTGGAGGACATCGATGCGTTTCCTGTTCTCGTGTCCTCCCTGAGCTGCCGCGCGTTCGTCGACGAGTTCGCAAATCGCAGACGTCATCTCCTTGGGCCAATCAACCTCCCACTCATATCCCATGCGCCTGAGGAATCTCTTCACAAAGACCAACCCATACCTCTTCGCCTGACCATTGAAGATGGCGTCGGGAATCTTGCTCCAGCGCTTGTCCCTGCCGGACAACAGCTTGCTGGGATCGAAGATCTTGTCGATCTGCCCGAAGCCCTTACCAAATGACGACTCGCCCATGATGTCTAGCGCAAGACAGTGCAAGTCACGCATAAGGTCAGTCTCGAAGTCGCCGTTGGGGTTGGACTTGGCATCTTGAGCGATAGCCTTGTCGACTTCAGTGTAGTAGTTGCTGAGCAAGATCGATGTGCACGCTTTGAAGAACGTGTCTAGCTTGTCGACAGAAGAGACAGTGAAAGCTGGGCTGAGGAACTTCTTGAGGTTGCGGTGGGGAACGGGGCGGCTGTGGGTTTTCGGCGTCAGCTACCGTCGTTTTCGCAAGGAAATACGGGAGACTGATACTTACATCTCTCCAAAGAGACCGGGACTTTTTCTGTCTCTCGAGATCTCAGCATACATGGTAACCTTGGGTAGATCAATCGTAAGAAGAATCTGCTTCATAGCTCCCTTATCAGAGATCCAGAGCTGTCTTGGTCCCAAACGGATGACATCGCCGTACTGCTTGTGCATCTTCTCGACATATTCGTGGATCGTGCCACGAGCGAAGAGCCATCGCAGATGCAGGGCCGTATAGGGCGCATACCACGGTCCGGGGAAGCGCTCAAGGCCAGTCTTTTTCGTAACAGATCGAAGGTAAGAAAAGCTGATCACTATGGCCAAGAGACTTGCGACTATATTGCGCGGGTGCATCTCGATGGTGGAGAACTGCTCTGCAGAAGGGAGAGAGTCCATGGTCGGCATGAGATGCCATGGAAAAGTTGGAGTAGAGACGTTCATTGTGAGCGATCAAGGTAGATACGATGAAGAGGTATGAGATGAAGCGTTGGATTAACGGCTCCTAACGTGGAAGTGGCGTCTTATAGTCAGGTCGTTTGATCAATCGCTATAATACTCTCCCGAAGTCACTCCCCCTGCGATCCCGCCAATTTCACGCACGTTGGGGATCGCCGTGGTTAGAACCTGGAGACCCTCAAAGCTAGGTTGATACAGAGTCCCCAGACGATTGCCATACACTAGTTGCTAGATCGCAGGCTGATCAGTGGAGGGTAAACTAGACCCCCACAAGTCTGGTACCGAAAACCGACCGGCAGTAGGGTAAATGACTCAGTGAATATACCGACTCTTTCAACGAGACTACAGACAAGTTTTAACCCGGAAGCATCATGGGCACAAGTTTCGTCGGCAATGCGACTAGACTTGAGGCTGTTGAATACAACGGATCTCAGCCTCAGTGACGTAGCGTAGTGTCGATTAACTTCAAGGACTGTTCGCCCTATGCACGTAACGTCAGTGCATGTGTTTCTAGCTTCATTCTCTGTTTGACTTCGCCCACGTTCCTCGTCATATCCAGGTAGATACTTCGGCAGTCGGCCGACGCTAGCTAGACGGCCGGTCAGAGTAAGCTGACTGGTTTTCCGTGGCTATTGGGTGCTCAGGACTTGGCTTTTTGCGTCGTCTTATCTCAATCGGCACTTGTTGCACCAAACAAGTAGTTGCCGTAATACGGTAACATCCACTGACATGTGACAAACCCCACGAGGATGGTGTTGACTTTGGGCACCGGGCCTGGGTTCAGGTCATTGGGGATCGCCCCCAGGTCGGTGAGAGCTTGGTGTGTGCTGACAACACGGTCTATGTGCGCGTGGTGTCGTACTCTAATTACATTTGGTCTATCCTCTTTGCATCGTAGCCCACAGACCACGAGTCACCTCTGATTATCGCAATACTAACGACACGAACGATGCCAAAAACTATCTTCGCATAAGGAACACCAGACAATCAAGGCGACTGGGATGTAGGAAGCCTGCTTGCAGTGATCTTGGTATTCGGCCCGCACCGCTGCAGCTATCATGAGGTATCATGTTGAATGAGGCCGATGAATGCCATATGCGTTATTCGGAGATATGGGTGTCTGAGATGAAGGACTTTGCCCTAGCTGCATGACTCTAAATTCTTCCATGCTACAGTTGTGTAGTGCAGTCACCAAGGGTGTTGAGTTTGTATTCAGCCGCGTCAGCAGCTAGATGTGTTATCATGCCGATGGAGCGGGCCGTATCGGGAGAATAGCGAAACTTTGTTAAGACAAAGTTCCAACGGCGGGAATGCAGTACCGATGCAAAGCAAAGTTCCGGAGAGAACTCCGCTGCCTCCATTGGAGTGCGAGGCCCCGGGCAAGATGATGTCTTTCGCCCACGCAGAGCAGGTATGTCGAGGTGCATAGTATTGACCCAGCCGTTGTCTGAATACCCTCTTAGTAATCATCACTTCAAAAGTAGGCAGGTTTCCCAGGCAATCCTCGGACCGCCAATATATCATCATCGCCGATATCTCGTACTTGTATCACGTTGTCGTATCTTCCAATCATGGCTCGGGAAAGGATTCTGCTTGCCGGCGTCACAGGATACATTGGGGGCAGTGTGCTCCACCAACTGCTTCGCAGCAAACATGCAGCGATCAAAGACGCTGATATTACGTGTCTCGTTCGAGGCCAAGAAAGAGTTGCACAGCTCCACGCTGCGTTTGGTGACAAGGTCAAGGTTATCGGCTTCGAAGGTCTGGACGATACTGACCGCCTTGTCGAGATAGCAAGTCAGTACGACGTCATCTTCAACATGACGCTCGGTTATCATCTCGCCAGTGCTGCGGCCTTTATCGAGGGTCTTTCGTTGCGCCAGAAGTCCACTGGCAAAGATGCTTGGATGGTCCACACTTCAGGTGTCTCGAACCTTGCGGACCAGCCACTCTCGGGTGTTCACGTTGAATCAAAACCCGATCTGGAATTCGACGACTCGGGGGACAACATCTATGCGTATGAGAAGTCGCGCAACACAGTAAAAAAGTACATTCAACGCACAACGGAGCTTGGCATGATAGATGCTGGACTCGAGTCAGGCGTGAAGACTGTCGTTCTCATGTCTCCATTGATCTACGGGGTGAGCGACGCCTCCCCGCAAACTGCGGCCCCGCACGATATTGACACCTCGTCTAGGTTGGAACGGGCTTGTGGAATAAGCGTAGTCTGCAAGTTCCTCGATTGGCCCGAGCGGCGATCTCTGAAGGGGAAGCCATCGTTATCGGTGACGGCAAGGGCGTGTGGGACAACGGTACTATTACCGCCGAATCTCTGTCACAAACGCACGCTGATCTCTTGCTCTAGTTCATATCGAGGACCTGGCAGAGCTCTACGAGCTGGTACTCGTGGAGATCTTGTCAAAGGGAGGCGCTTCTCTGCCCAAGGGGAAACAAGGCGTTGTTTTCAGCGCACATGGGCGTCACACGTGGATCGAGGTGTCGCAGGCGGTTGCCAATGCAGCATTCGACGCCGGCGTAGTCAAGAGTAACACGGTAAAGTCTGTTTGTCTCGCCGATGGAGCCAAACTCTTGACTGGTGGTGTTGAGCAAGTCGCTGAGCTGGGGTTCGCAAGCACATGCAGGACTCGCAGTGAAATCGCTAAGAGACTGGGTTGGTGCCCCAGAGCAGGACTCGAGACGTGGGAGCGAGGCTTCGTGGAAGAGGTTAGTGCGCTATCGAAGCTGTGAAGCGGAAGCTGTCAAGCGGCTCGATGAGTGCGGAGGCTAGTCGGTGCGAATACGGCTATACGGACCCATGTTGTACATAAGCTAGCCAAGATAACACATGACGTGCTTCGAGACGAGAGACACAAAACGATGGTGATGTTGGCGATGCCTGTTGACTGCAGGACAGCGTCATCCCAAACGTGCATCGGGTCAAAGGGAGATATCGGGCACGCTTGGCGAGAAGACCAAAGTGTCCGGTGTAGATGATGCTACCCAGGTGAGGTGGCCCGTGCGTGTCGGAATACCCCATACGACATTCTCGTGCGTTCTCGCGCCGGCCGATTAGGTTTGCAGCAACGGCATGCAGAGAATCGAGGTACAGCATCCCGAGGTCACTGAGCATGGCCGCCGAAAGTTAAAGTATGGTTAAATGGACGACGAAGAGGCGAAGAGCCGAGGGCGCGTGGAGGCGCACAGGCGGTAGAGATTACCGAGGCGCCAAGTCGTTTCGGAGCTAGTTCCAGGGTCCAGCAAATGTGCCTGAACCCTTTTTTTCCTGCGACCACGACATCGGGACCCCACAGTGGTAGCATTAGTCTGCTTGCTACCCAGACAAAGACTCCTCCCTCCTGCTTTCTATGGCTAGGATGCGTCTGTTGAGCATACGGGCCCTCGCGCCGTGAGATAAGCGTGGCAACGGACGCCATGGCGTGTAAAAAGCCGTTTTGAGCCGCCGTGTTGCGCAAACTCAATCCCAAACAGTTTCTCCGGTACTTATCAATGGTATATACATGGTTTGCATAGCTAGGCCAGAACCTGCGATATGAAAACCGCCGAAACTGAGCAAACACTCCTGGTTCCATGTGGGTCGCTGACGCGAATGAGATCTGCAGTCTTGTTCACGTTGGGTACGAGATTGGCAGCCATGTGTAGACCGTTCCAACGGCCGCCCAGCCCTGTCGAGTAAAGGAGCAATTACGCGGACGCCGTTTGGTTGCTCTTGATCTTTCACACCGACTTTTGCGCGTAAACGGGCCTTGCGTGCCGCTCCAGCATTCCATCCCTCGATTTTATCGTCGGGCCGCTCTAGACTAAAGCTTTGTCTCCAAAGCTAAGTCCAGGACTTACCTAGGTACTTTCCGCAACACTGTACTCCACATAGGGGTCCAATCTGATCCACTGAGCGTCTTCGTCTTGCCTTGTTGAGAACGCACCAAGGGCCCTTTAGGACTGTGCAGCTTTGTCGTCTGAGTAGATAATCGTGCCCTCTCCCTTCCTCTTCCTTTCTCCGTCTCTCTCACATTCTTCCTCCACCACCCACCATGAGTGCAACCACAACCCAGACGCTCACCTCGCCGGACATGGCACCGGTTGGAGATGCCTCTGTGCCCGGAATCAAGGCTCTTCGAGAAGCCATCCCAGAAAAATGCTTCGAACGCTCTCTTCTGAGATCCCTTTCGTACGTTGCACGAGACCTCGTGGCGGTCAGCGCCTTGTTCTACTCTGCCGTCTGCTTGACACGTCTTGAGTCGTCTTGGGCCATTCCGCTCTGGGTCCTCTACAGTTTTGTCCAAGGTCTGTTCTTCACAGGGCTTTGGATTTTGGCCCACGAATGTGGCCACGACTCCTTCTCAAGCCATCTCCAAGTCAATGCGGCAGTTGGTTGGGTCCTTCACAGCATTCTTCTTGTCCCATTCTTCTCGTGGAAGTTCAGCCATTCCCGTCATCACCGTTACGCAAACCACATGGACAAGGACACCGTCTTCGTGCCCAACCGCAAGCCAACCTCCGAGTCAAAGGCCGAACCGAGCTTCTTGACACGCCTCGTGGACCACGACGCGGCGGATACACCCATCGTCAGTCTCTTCACTCTGGCGATTCACCAGCTCTTCGGATGGCCAGCCTACATCCTGATCAACGCAGGAGCTGGCGCACAAAGCCTTACCAGAGGCCGTCGATCCACCGTGCCGACCTACAAGCAAAGCCATCTCGATCCCACTTCGCCCGTCTTCACTCGTCAAGAGCAGCCATACGTCCTTCTATCCAACGCAGGCATCGTGGCCGTCTTTGCAGTCCTCTATCAAGTCGCCCAGACCCTAGGCTACCGAAACACTTTCTTCTTGTACGGTCTTCCTTACCTCTGGATGAACCATTGGATCGGTAAGCATCTTTTTGGCCCAACCGTGTAAACAGCATTCACTAACCATGCAAGTCGCTATCACTTATCTCCACCACACGCACCCAGAAGCGCCTCATTACGAAGATGGGGCCTGGACTTACCAGAAGGGCGCCATGTCCACTGTGGATCGCGAATTCGGCTTTATTGGACGCCACATCTTTCACGGCATCATTGAATACCATGTCGTGCATCACATCTTCCCGTAAGTAGATTCGCTTTAACTAGTGTTGGATCTGAAACTGACAGCCCAGGCGCATTCCCTTCTATCACTGCGAAGAGGCTACGTTTGCCATTGCGCCGTTGCTTGGGGACAAGTACATTGCGCAAAAGAAGACATCTTTCCTCGCGGACCTATGGGAAGCCTTCACTACTGCCAAGTACGTGGAAGCTCGCCCCTCGAGCGAGCCAGGAGTAGTGCATTGGGCCAAGGCCTGAAAACTTCACACCGCTGTCCCGCATTTCTGAGGAAATTTGCGCCGCTAGCCGCATTCGGCCAGGTCTGGCGGACACACTCCACGGGGGGTAGATATCCCGAATCGAAGAGCGGTACACTTAGATACTTCACACAAATCAAAGGGTCTGCAGTAAGGGTCGCTTATAACATGGGCTTGATGGCTGGGATGAAATCGATGATGGCCCCGGAGTTCGTCTCAATCCTGCCGATCGCCACGGCACGAAATAGGGGTTGGTCCCTCTTTGCCACCATGCCACAATCGGTAAGCGACGGTAAAATGCCCTTGGATTTGTGCGGTCACAAAAGTTGCTATCAAGTTTATAATGGCACGGTCATTTCAATAGCTGACATGAGTATCTGGATCATGACATCATAAGCTCAGAAGCCAGCTTCACATAGCTTTCATAATCTTACTATTCGTGCTCTATCGCTCTGTACACCTCTTTATCGTTTCTGTTATCTAGAGCAGCTAAGTTCCTGCACAACGCGTCACTGCCTTAAACAGGTTCCAAAGCTGAGCAATGCAACTTTCCCCCATGGCACCTGGGCACTATCGACCATTCCTCAAGCCGCGAACTTATCGAGCTGTATCGACGAAAGCTTGTTCTGTGGCTTCGACCAAACAGCTAACAGCTTCACCAGCGACATAGGGTTTCCGACGATAGTCTGCCAGTGCAAAGAAGGACTCGCACAACATTCTGTCCGACCGATAGCTTTGCGAGTCTTGGCTCCTGCGAAGGATATACTTGGCATTCAAAGGTTCTGGGTTGATTTGGAGTTGAATAATACGCGCAATGAAGACATATTTACTTCTGAACTACTAACCTGCCCTGGGGCTTAGTCTCTCCACTTATGAGCGCACCACACTTTGCAAACACCAAAGGCATTCTTTGTATCGCCCAATCGCTCTGCGTCTAGGCATATCCCAACTTTGGAAACATCGCCCTCGCCTTTTTCGTCCATACTGCGCCACACCCCCACCAACCCCACTCCATGGACATCAAGCGCTTAGTACCTGACACTAGCTATTATAGTGGCTGAGCAAGCCTAATTCTATTTCCAGATCTAAGATGATTCACATCATTTGTCGTGGGATGATGCTTGTGCGGCTTTGATGCCGGGGTCCGGGTTTCGAGGGCCCTGTGATGGTCAGGCATGCGAGGTTTAAGACATCCGCGCTCTGAGCCTGATTAGTGATCTGGCTCAGGGAGGCGGATGGATATTCGAGGGTGGACTGTAGTGGATGAGAGAATGGGATATGTTTGTGCGCATGCTGGGTAGACATGGGGCTGATAGTGTTGTGATAGATAAACGAGATGGTTAACGGGAGCAAGTTTTGTGTGATGTGAAATGAACGAATTGTAGGATCATCAAGCTGTCAATCAACCAACAACGCCCACTATTTCGACAACTGAAATTACCTCTCAGCCGATTTCAATACACATTAGTAACGACAGATGCTACAGTCACGCAATTAAATCGGAAAAGGCATGGTATCAGAAATCGTGTTTCATTTCTAAGGCTTCTAAACCGAGGGTGATTTTGGCTACCGGCAGGCATCCTTGTGACCCTGTCGATACTCAGGCCCCTTAGTGTTCGTTCGAAAATTTCGAAAAGTCCCAACACAGAACGCCAATAGATGCGAAGAAAAGCTTTGGTTATGTACAGCGGAAAGTTCGGTCCCAGACCACATTCCCAGTCGAAAACGGTGGAAGAAACGAATGTGTGAATGCAGTTATGTTTCAACATGTGTCGTGAGCGATGCGTATCATGAGGCATTGTGCGTTTAGTTGACAACGCGGCGGCTGGACCAACGAGGACGAGCGATGCGTCCGTTGTAACCACGCTTTGTGATGCTGCCGTTGACACAGGTTGTGCCGGCTGCGACGGCTTGCCAGACGACCTCGCCGTTGTTGCAGAGACCAAATTGATCGGCGCCGTTGCAGACCACAGAGCCGTTCTCGGTGCAAGTGCCCGCGCCACCAGCTGAAGGAGTTGAAGGCATAGAAGGAGCGGCAGGAGAGCCGGTTCCAGCAGGAACGGTGGGTGCGACCGGAGAGGGAGCAGTGGGTGAGGCGGTAACAGTAACGAGTGTGGTGGACGTCGATGGCACTGTGGGTACGGCTGGGGGAGCGATAGATGCAGCGCTAGATGCTCCAGGAGCGAAGACACCCCCGCCATTGGGCGGGAGAGCAGATGACTCGCCACCAGCAACAGATGTGGGAACGGCAGATGGCTGACCCGCGGCGGGGGTGGTAGGAGCAGGATGGTACTGACCATCGTTTGCAGAAGTGGGAGCTGCAGATGGCTCTCCACCAGCAGGAGATGAGGGAGCAGCTGAGGACTGGCCACCAGCAGGGGAAGATGGCTCAGAAGGATCAGAGGGTGTAGTACCAGTAGATCCGCAGTCGCCACTGGGGTCAACAACATTGCCGGCATCTGCACCACTTTGGAGGTTTGAACCAGGGTTGGGGAACTTCAAGTCCTTGCTGACTTCCTGCTTGCAAGTGGTTGATGCAATGTTGGCGACGAGCATATCTGGAAGGGCGTCGAACTTGGACTTGTCGCTGGCACCACCAGTAACCTCGATGGGTGCGCAGTTCATATACATCTCTGGGCCGCCACTCAACTTGGCGAACCATGTCCAAGCAAAGGTAGCTTTGCCGTTGGGGATGCTGTCAGGAAGCTCGAAGTCGAAAGCCTCGGGTCCGTCGATACCAGGGCAGCCACCCTCGATAGACTTGATGACCTTGAAGACGGAATCCTTTGTAGGTTCGGTGTCTGTAGTGACGCTGAGCTGGCACGAGCCACCCCCGTGAACAGCACTTCCAGAGAAAGTGAGTGATTGCTTTTGACCGACAGCCATCGAGTTCATAGTCGAGACAGTGAAGCCAAGATTAGACTTGCACGGGTATTGCGATGCGGTGATGGGTGCGTTGTCGATTTTATCTGCACTGTATGGTACAGGAGATTTCATGATCATGTGAGCGTTGGAAGTAGCGAAAATGGCAGCCGCAGCCATGAAGATAGATCGGAGAGACATGTTGATGATGGTAGTAGTGATATCGTACAACGACAGTAGAATGTTAAAATCGAAGAGAATGTGGATGAGCTAGCCCTGCTAGTCGTGCAAAAGATACTGCAATGGAAAGAATGTAGAAGTTGCCGAGAGAGCGTGTGTTGCGATGAGAGCATTATGCTGTGAGGCAGCTGTAGTCTCTTATACTTGTGTCACCACCATTGCGTATCGCCACCAAAGCCTCCGCATTGCGAATCATCGAATGATCCCCTAATCAAACGGGTAGTCTAGAGGGCGAGAGTGTCAACGTAAGACAAGGTACATGGGAGTCGTTGGCGATCCACAGCGGCGAGCGTCTACGGGATGAAACGGGCGGTCCGGGTGTACTGAGGCTCTCAGCCAAGGGAATACTAGAACGGCACGCAGCCGACGCAGGTACATCATGCGTCACTGCCTAAGTGGGAAGGCGACGAAGACGTGGACTCGAGGATCACCATGTGTCGGTGAAGGGCCTAAGGAGAGAGGTTTCGTTTCGATGTTGCATCTGAACGTCCATTGGTTGAGGCGTCGTCGCTTAGCAGGTCGGCAAAAGGTCCGGACCCCTGTGTGTTTTATGCTGCGTCGCACCTCCGAGCCAATGATCCCTGCATTGCCAGGCCCATTGGTGAGCCGCTTACGGCCTCTCAACGCCTTCAGCTATTAGCGTCCACAATCCGCTCCACCGCGTGTGGGAACGAAGCTTGGTTTCTTACCTAGCGCCGCGTATGCCCTGTCACACCTTCTACTCGGGGTTTAACAGTCTTAGTAGCGATCTAGGCCTAATTGGGCCTAGTGGCCACTAGCGTGCAGAAGCCTCTACTATACTTATTATAGCCTATTAAACTAAGTTTCTTACTTTCTTACTTTACTATACTATAACTATAAGTAGCTTTAACAATTTAAACTAATTAGCTATAATAATTACAGCTAATTATTTCTAATAATTTCTCTATTTTAGCTTACTTTTACTATATAATTATTTACTATAATTACTTAAACTAGCTTACTTTTACTTTATAATTATTTTTTATAATTACTTAAACTAACTTACTTTTACTATATAATTTTTTCTAATAATATAACTAATTAACTCTACTCTACCTCTAGTCTTACTTTAGCTAATAAGTACTATTTTTATAAATATTACTAATAATATTAATACTAGCTATCTATAAATTTATCTTATTCTTAATAAATAGTAACTACTTTCTATATTATTATAGATAATTATTATTAAGGTTAATATAGTAGTAGATACTAAGTAGAACTATAAAAACGTTCTATATAATTTAGACTCTAAGCTTAAAACTACCTCTAAGAAAGGCTATAGTACTAGTAGTAAACGCTCTTATAAAGAAGAAAAACTATTTTACCTTAATATAGTAAATAATTTATAAGTACTAAAATTACCTATTTAGAATTATTACTAATAATATTATAGGTAGAAGGCTATTCTTAAGAATAAGTCTATTAGCTTAGTATAGTTTAAAGAGAATACTTAGTATATAAACATTTATAATAATTATAATATTATTTTTAATAATTACTAGTAAAGTTAAGTAGTAGTAAGATTATTAGAGTGCTAATACTAAGTAAGTTATTATTATATTATAATTATCTAGAATATTCTAATATTAGTATAAGCTAGATAATAAGAAAAGTAATAAAGTAATCTATAGTAGAATATAGCGTAAAAAAGGTTTATTATAAATAATTTTACTATTATTTATAATAATCTAATACTTAACAGGTTTACTTTTAAAATATTACTTTTACTACATTAGTAATAAGCTAAACTTCTCTAGCAACTAGGTAAACGTTTCTAATAATATACTATTATATTCTATTATTAATAACATTTTAGATTTCTCTTAGCTTAAATAATAATAATACTCTTTTCTATAGATACCTCTTTAAAAATGCGCTTATTAAAGAATTTCTTATTATTATAGGTAATAATATTCTAATTATTCTTAATAATACTAATATATATATAGAAAAGCTATTTGCTAAAAACCTTTAAAAGTAAGATTATTATAAGTTTAGTCTTATTAAATATTATTAATAATATACTAATTATTATAGATACTTTTATTTAACTTCTATTATAGCCTTTAGAATTTTATTTTTAATCTTTAGAATATAGAGCACTACTTTAAGAACGTTAGTAATAATTTAACTTTTTCTAATTAGAACGTTACTAATAATTATAGCTTATATCTAAAAGAGATTAGTATAAAGCGCGCTAAGCTACTTATAAGACTTATAGTAATTACGTAAAAGTTAATAATAATTTACTATAATATTCTAAATAATCTTATTCTTAGGTAAAGAGCCTATTTAAAACGTTAGAAACGTTATTACAACTTATAACTTATAACTATTCTCTTCTCTATAATACTTTCTTACTTACTTAATTATTTATAATAATCTTTATAATTATTAGAACTAAAAAAGTAAAAGTTTTACCTAGTAGAGCGCTAGTTAAATTCTACTAATATTTAAAATATTTATAATAATTACTATAATATATAATTATGCTAGTAAAGTCTAACATTTATAATAATTATAGTAATATATTAACTTACTAGTAAGCTCTAACGTATATAATATTTATAGTAATATAGTAATATATTTACTACTTTAATAGTAAATATATACAACGTTTATAGTAATATAAATTTACTATATTAAGAATATATATATATATAACCTTTATAGTAATATATTTACTACCTTAATAAGAAACGTATATAACGTTTATAGTAATAAGTATTTACTACTTTAAAGATTAATATATATAACGTTTATAGTAATAAATTTACTACTTTAATAGAAAACGTATACAGCGTTAATAAGTAAGCGTTTACTATATACAAAATATATAATATATTTAATATTACACTATTAAGAATATTAATAAAGAAAAAAGTAGTATTATATTATTATTATTAGCGTTAAGCGCAAAGATATATTTAACTATATTACTAATATAATTGTTCTAAATAAGATAATAAGTCTATATACTTATTCTGTCTTATACTTAGATTATTATTTATACTAATAAAATACTTTATAATTATTATTAACGTAAACTCTATTAACTACCTACTTTATTTATATATATATTTTAGTTACTAACGTTTATTAAGTAAGAAATACTAAACACTATCTTAATAAAATAAGTAGCTAGAGTAGTAGCTACTATTAATATTAATATTAATAAGATAGTTATAGAAGTTCTTAATAAACGCTATTACTATTTTATAATATATTAGTAACGTTGCTATTTAAATAATACTAACATATATACTTATAATTACCTTTATATTTTATAGTTTAGAATAATTAAAAGCGTTAAATTGTTAAAAAAGATAGCTAGCCTAAATTTCTAAAATTACTAGCTACTTAAGTAATAGGTTTAGAATTAAGAGATAATGTTTACGCTAATTAACGTAAAAAATAAATAGCTTAATCTCTATATACTAGATGTTAATAGAAGTAATTATATAGAGTAATAGTATAAACCTCTATTCTAGTATGTTTTACAAAAAAGAAGAGTAAGTTTAATTATTCTTTTCTCTTTATTAATAATCTACAGTATTTATAGCTTAATTTATAGATACTTCTTAAGCTATAAAAGGTATTAGAATAATATTATATATACTAAGTATATTATTAATTATTAATAATATTATACTTAAATAATATAACTACGCTTATTAAGTAGTAATTATTAAGAAAAAGCTTTTTTATTATAACTACCTAGAAATCTAGCCTAGGTATTATTTTATATATTTCGCAAATCTTTCTTTTTAACTACGTAGGTACTTTTAGCTACTTTACCTACTTATACTTAAACGTTATTAATAATACTCTCTAAGAACGTTAAAGAATATACCTTTTAATATTTAATACTTTTTATTAACGTTAACACTATTATAAAATAAAATAGATTTCTAGTATATTTTCTATTTTTTCTCTCTTTCTACTTACTTATACTACGCTTCTTTTAATACTTATAGTACTAGCTAATTATTACTTTTATTTTTTAGGCATAAGAGAATAATTAACTACTATATATATTAGTATCTAGCTTATCTCTAATTACTTTAGATATTACTAAAGTAGCTCTTAAATCTAGAGTAGAGTCTTTATACGTAGAGAATATAATAGAATAGGCTAAAGAATATTAATAATAATAGAACTAGCCTTTCTCTTTTATTGCTAATAATATAGTATTATATAACTTTTATATCTAGAGAGTAATAAGCTTTAGTATCTAAGAACTAGAATTATTAAGCTTACGCTCTAAACCTAGACGTTTTACCTTAACCTATTATTTAAAACGTTTCTACTATTTTAGACTTATTATTAACGCTAATAACTACTATATATAATTATTACTAATATACTTTTTATAAGCTCTAATTATAAATTAAGTATAAGACTACTTTATAGTTATCTCTAATAATTAAAGCTTCTTCTTTATAAACACTAATTTCTACTTAACTTATTTAAGCTTATCTTAGTACTTAGTAGCAACATTAATTTTATAGCTAAGATTATCTTAGTTAATAGTATTAAGATTATTATTATTCTTTAGCTTATTATCTCTAGCGCTCTAGCTAAAAGTAATTATATTTAGCACCTCTTTAAGTAAGTTAAACATTACTATCTTTTTCTTATATAGTAGTATTATAAAGTATAATAATAATAAGCGTAGAGTATAATAGTTATAGAGTAAAGATATCTCTATACTTATAAACGTAATATACGTTCTAAATACTATAAAAAGCAAAGTAGTAGAGCCTATATATATAACTAGGCAAGACCTTTTTAGTGCGTCTCTAATAATTCTACCTTACTAATTATTATCTACTATAAATCTAGCCTACTTACTATTATTAATAATAAATATAATAATATAATAAATAGCAAGATACTACTTTAACCTACTAACGTTCTACTTTATTTACTTTTAATAATTATTTAATATAGTCTATAATACTTTAAAGTAGAAGGTATTTAAATAAATTTAGCACTTCTAAAAGCGTAGTACTCTTAGTATACTAAATACTTATAACGTTTCTTCTACTAAAAACTAAGAGTTAGCGTTATATATATAAGTATTATTATTATAAGCATAAAAGTATAAAGCTAATAGATTTAGAATATTTATATAGATAAGAAAAGTAGCTAAAAAGGTAGTAATTAAGTAGGCGCGTTAAAAATAATAACGTGCTATTTAGTAAGAACATAGCTAATAATTATAGCTAGCTCTAATATATTAAGAACGTACTAAAGACTTAGATATTTATAGACTAGAGAATCTCTCTATCTATACGCTCTAACGTTTATAATATACTTTACTACTACTAGCCTATAACGTTAGTAATATAGTAGTACTAACGTTACTACTATTATAATATTACTAGGCATTTATACCTTTATAAGTTAACTTATATAACTAGTTTCTTTTTACACTTATTAAGAATGTTTAGCTACTCTTTAGTATAGATACTATCTACCTCTATATTTACTAGTACTATAACGTTATATATAATATATAGTATACTATAGCTATACTACTAATATCTAAAGAAATAAAAAAAATAGTATATAGTTATTCTTAATAAGAGAACACATAAAGCTATATTAATAATACTATCTAACTAAGTAATATTATTATAAGTACTTACTAAAGAGAAAAGATAAGAACTATTAATGTTAGAGGCGTTACTATAACGTTTAGTAAAAAAAATATCTAGATCTCTTTACTAATTATAAAGCTACTAATTTATAATCTTAAAGCTATATAAAATAATTTAAAGAAAGCGCTTATAATAATTAAAGGCTAGCTTCTACCTCTCTTCTTATAGCCTCTTATATATAGTAGTAGTTTTACTTCTAAAATATAAAATATATATAAATAGAACTACTATTAGTATAAAGTACGTCTAAGATAATACTCTATATTACCTTTACTAATCTACATTATTATAAACGTATATAGATAAAGTAAAAGACTTAAGTTAAGAGTAAGTATATAAGATATATAGTGTATAAGATAAATATAGTAAGATTATTTAAGACGTTAAAAAATAGCTATAAATACTTATATTAAAGCCTTTATTAGCACTAATTAAGAGAAGAAAAGTAGATATTAACTAAAATAATACTAATATAGTAAAGAAGTAGCTTAGCAGCGTTAAGTATAATAATCTTATATTATATAGTAAGAGTAAAATAAGATTAAGAAGTACATACGTACTAATAATAGCTAAGAAGTATTAAAAACGTTAGAAATAACCTTAACTATAAAATATAAATACTAAGAATATAGTAGAAAATAGTTAGATTATAAATAATATTACTATAATTATTTCTAAAAATTACTTATTAGCGCTAAGTCTATATTAAGAAAAGTTTACGCATTTAAAATATTAATATACTTTTAAAATATTAGCGCTATAACGTTTTAGGCAATAAAATAGTCTAAACTATAATTCTATATATTAAAGACTATTAAATTTATATTTAAAATAAGCTTTTAACATTTTTATATATAAATTTTGCTCTTTAAAAAGACTACGTTATTCTAAGGTTTAATAGTCTCTTTATATATATATAAAATTATAAAAAGGCCTATAAATAATGTTATTATTATATATATATTATATAAAATAATATCTATAGGTAATTATTTTATAAAAAAAGTAAAAAATAATATCTAGAACGCGCTAAAAGTGCTCTAATATAGCCTAAAACGTTAAAAAAATTGTGCGTAATATATAAATAGTACTATAATATTTATAATAATATATTATTTCTATGTATAGGCGTTAGTAATAATACTATATTATATGCTGTAATTATTAGTAATAATATAAGACTACTAGTAAACTTTAGTAAAGTAGGCTATGCGTTAGGTTGTGCGTTAGGGGTAATTTTAGCGCAAAAATAGTCTAACTGTTAAACTTAGGGTTAGAAGCTCTACTTTATCCGTTTACTGTGTAAGACTGGCTATCAGAAAGCGCCAGCTTGTCGGTCATGATCTTCGCCAGCTACGACTGTGGGTATCCAAGATATCGCTTCTGATTGCCGGTTGGGAGCAACAACGCAATCTTCGTCCTCTAGAAATGCATTGTCAAGCCAGCATGCTACAGGGTCTGCGAAGTCTTGATCTTTTCGGAGTCCTCCTGCATCTTGCCTGTCGTGGAGAAGGGCTGAGTATGCTGCGCCACGACGGCATGTGGAGCGGGTGTGGCATATGTCTCCTTGAGCCATGCGGCATTGAGCTTTAGCCGAGCTCAGTAATAGAGCCGCCCTCGTTCTAACTTGCGAATCGGCACGCCCGCAGCCAGAGCAATGTGACCAACTCTGTCACTGCCGCGCACGTCGCCAACGTATACCTCAAGATCTTTCAGGAGTCTCGCTCTTTCCATCGCATCTAGCGTGGTCCCTCCATCGGGTACCTTGACCCAAGGATTCTCATAGGTCATGCTGGTAACGAAACCAAAGAGTTCCGGTCCTAAAGTCCTGCGCTTCAAGACTAAAGCCACACCACCTGTGATGAGGGTGATCGTGGATGCGGCAAGCAGGAGTGCAAGCCAAGCAAAGTTGCAAACAAAGATCTGTTCTGTAGCGGTGATAATGGCTGATGTTGTCGCTGCAATGAATGGCGATTTAATGTCCTGTGTCTGTTGTTCAAAAGTAGTGTACCAGTCGCTGAAGGTATGCTCGGTGGCCGTCAAGTTCTTCGGTAGGTAAGCATTAATGTCGTCGAACGTATCTGTGTCCGGCCCATAAAGTGATAGGTTTTGAGGTAAGCTACCAAAATAGCCAGTCGGCTGAATACTCAGTTGGTAAAAGGTGTTCATTACCAGACTGAGTCGTTTCGAGAACAAATCGGGGGACACCCGTGAAAGGTTCGTAAACATGACATCGCTAGGTGAGTGGCCGACTTGCTGCACGAATGGAAAGGCCGAAGTGTTGGCCAAGAAGTGCTCGGTTGGGCTCGAACCAGTCGTGAACTTTACTGCGCGAGGAAACTGTTTCGCAAACGCGAACATGATCGTACCATGCTCGAGCCCAGTGAGCGATGTGGAACGAGTATCTTCAAGCGATTTCCGGAGCTTGGTTGTGGCACAAGTGCTCGCTTTACATTGTACGAATGCTTCAACGTGAGTCTGAGACAAAGAGCATGTCGCAATGTTTAGTCCAATCTCGTTGCCACTATTGGTTGTTGCGTATTGTGAGACAAACAGAAGCTCTCGATTCATGGTAAGCTCTTTTTCGGGCATGAGGGAGGTATTGTAGTTGCCGAAGAACCCGTTTAGACGACCCATGAAGAGGTCCTGGTCGTCTCCGACTTTGATCCCCCATGGAAAACTCCGGGTTGTATCCATGAAGAAAGAGTTGCGATCTCCCATGGGGTTGCCGAAGGGATCATCCTCCTCTTTTTCGAACCATACTTGGCCAGGCGCCATATCGTCCAGCTTAGTATAATTGGTGGTATAGTAATTATCTGAGCCGTTCACGCCAGGGTAAGGCGCTTGTGTAAAGGGCTGACAGTCTAACGCCAAGTACGTGTACTGGAGATTGAAGCTTGAGCTGTCACGGGATGGAAGACCAACAATGGGAAGACCAACCAGAGAAGAATAGTCTTCCGGCGATGAGGCGTCCTTAGGCACCGTATACCAGCCATTGGAATCGGGCGACGACGAGTTGACTGACTGCAAACTGGGTATCTTGACGTTACCCCAGGGATCTTGAGTTCCTAGCTTCGTGGACAGTGGTGCCAATAGTGCTGCGGTATAGAGAGCTCCGGCATCAGCAAACTTCCCATTGTCGATATAGGTTGTTGACAGCCCCCACATAGTTGCTGCTGGTCCGGTAGTCATGTATCGAAGTTTCCCAGATTTATGAGAAGCTCTCAGACTTCTTGTCATCAGTCGAAGTGATGCCTGGCCACCCAGTGGCGAAAGAGCCCACAGGAAGAGAAGGTTCACGCCAACGACTGTAAGTCGTTGCATCAGCAGTTGACTCTCCAAGGTGCCCCAAACAGACTGACTTGCCATGAGCAGTTCAAGTGTCTAAAGACGAATTAGTCACTTGATCCACGACTGCAGCAGCTTCTTGGGGAACCAGCTTCGAGAAGATGTACATACGCTGATTCTGGACCCTCTTTCCACCAGGAACCGCGCAATCATCTTCATGCTTCTTCCCGTTATGGCAGCAAACACGATAGGAAACATTGTTGGGCCCTGCACCTGTCAGTGAACTGTATGATACCGACACATCTTCTTGTTTTACAAGATCCATAGCCGTTTCCACCTCAGACCCGAATGCAGAGCCTTGAGTTGGTTTCCCATTCAGGGTGATCACGGCAACACTAAGAACTACACAAGTTAGATCAGCAATATAGGATGAAACTTGGTAGCTTACGGATGAAGTACAGCGGCAGCAATGCGAGTAAGATGTCTCCCAATGCATAGAGCCATTTCAACCAGGTATGGGCCTTCAATGGCCGAGCTTCCTCAGGCCAACTCCCAACCTTTTCAATTGTAGTCTCCCAAATCTCAGGTTTCGACGTCGGTTTCGGCTTCGATTTCGCCGCGGTCACCGGCGTCGCATTTGCACCCGCGTCCACTCCGGCATCAACCCTCACTCCTACAGTCGGCAGGCCACGCAAATCATGCCGACGAAGAGGGCTCCAGCGTGAAAACCCGCTAACATCCATGGCTCCCTCTGGTCACACAAAATACGAAGCCGCGTCACCGTGACAAAGTTCTGAAAAGGAGGGGGGTGGACACGACGCTGAGCGGGAAGAAAGCTAAAGGTAGGATGAGGCTGATAGTTCGCACACAGCGAACGACACTTCTTTTGCTGCCGTATACCCATCCTATACGGCGTAGTACCAGAGCGAATCCTTAGCATAGGGTTAAATGAACTTTCCACTCGACATTTTAGGAGCGCGCTTCCTGAAGTCTCAGGTTGAACTTGGGGCGTTCCTGACGAATCGGTTTGCGTGGGGTGAAACGCGAAGCGCTTGGGCGGGTCTTGCTAAGCCATTCTTCGGTACATGTGGAGAAATCGCGAATCTATCACATTGCATGTTGGCATTCGTGCGACACTGCTTGCGGGAATGATGAGAGGCTCGGGCCGGGATGAGGCGGGTTTAGAATTGGTGGTTTGGTGGAGGAAGCTGGAGGGTAGTGCCGTTGTGAAGTTGGTGCAGCGCGAGAGTGTAGGGCTGAAGCGGCAGGCGCGACTACATCGCGTCCGGAGGCTCGCATCTCTGCTCGTCCCTCACTATGAAATGCTATCATCATGCTATGAGGCACAGTATTAGACTGCAAGCACATTGAATGTATACAATGATGAGAAATCTATTTTGTAATGAGGCTGCACTACGAAGATGCGAGCTAGCTGCTGGGGTTATCACGGAAATCAAACTCAATACCAAGCCTTTTGGCGCCCGCTACGATGCAGAATGATGCCGCCTTCATGATGGACAAATATTACGCCAAACTGATAAATACCACCTCCACTATGATCCCCGAAACCCGACTAGGTATCGAAGCTCAACCTCGGCTTGCAAGCATGCGATCCACGAATTGAACGTAGAAGTTGCGCCATTCCTTTTCTTTCTTCGGTCCCTCGAACGAGCCGGCGAGGGTGCGCAGGTATTGGTCCGCGCCGTCGTCGCCCACTCCCATGCCACCGAGATCGCTCTTGAGTCGCTCCACATACGGTTCGCCAACCTTCTTAATGATCTCGTGCTGCAGATTGGCGGCCTCAAAAAGGACTTGCTTTGCCTGCGCGTCTTTCGAGTTGAAGCCCGGCGATGCCGGAATTGACCATGCCAACGGAGAAAACTTATCTACCACGTAGTTGTCGAAACCCGGCAATGGTGCTTGAGCAGTGTCGGGAGATGTGGGTGTTGCGTTCGCGCCAGGCCCGACTTTGTCGGGTCCGCCCCACACCGTGATCATGCGGATAAGCACGAAGATTGCAAGGCGCGCGGTAGGGTAGTCGTGTGTGTCGCGAGCGAACGTTTCGATCGAAGAAATTATGGGCTCGAATGTCGCTTGATTTACTGCGGAACGTTAGCAGTGTCAAGTCTATATTTGATATCGTCGACTTACCATTGCTGACGAACACAGACCCGAGACCTTGGTTGAGAACAACGACGATGAAGTTCAGATACTCTCGACGGAGCTCAGCTAGTTGAATCTCGTCATCTGTACCCGAAGGAACTACAGCTAGTGCAGTAAATATGCGTTGCAAGACTGGACTCATGACGGTATCCAGAATGCCAGCGATCTCTGACTTGAAGGTGAAGACGACCTGACCAAGCACTTTGAGGAAGGTACTGATCTCGTCCATGGAAGAACTCAAAGAAAGGAGTCCTTCGATCCAGGATGGCAGCTGTTGTAGCAGACGCGAGCCTAATACGGCAATCATGCGCGAGAAAGCGAATCTTGCAGCGTGTCGAATGGAGCCAGATGAGTTCAGTGATTCAACGGCGACGAGGATAGCTTCAGATGCTTTGACGAACTCATCCGCCACCTCACTCTGGGGCGCGACGCTGTTGTTGTTTGACGGTACCCAGTCTGAGTAGCCTCGAGCTAGCGTACCTATGGCCATGATGATATGGTGGATTTGGAGTATAGCCCGCTCATCACCATTCCTCGCCTGGGGAAGAGTCTGTTGCATGTCTGAGAACAGAGGGCTCATGATGGTCTGCGCGTAGAGTCTCTTGTTCTCCGCGGAGACGGTGTTGGACGAAGCGATGCAGCCCACGGCTTCGAAAAGGTACAACTGCGAGTCGAACAGCGCATCCGCCGACTGATCCTCTTCATCGGACGACATCTCATCTTCTGAAGTATCTGGTAGCTCAGCTTTGATGGCAAGCAAGTCTCCAACCGCTTGAATGATGTCGTAGGAGACGTTGCCCAGTTGGGCCCGCAGATGCTTGACTAAGCGTTGGAAGAGATACCAGGATCGCGAGCGGACCTTGACATGGTTGCTATGGGTAAGGTTGACAAAATTCTCAAGTACCTTGGGGATGAGGCCAGGATTCTGCTCGAAGAACTGATAGTAGCGTACGCATATCTCCATATACTGCAGTTGAACAGCAGGGTGCGGGTAGCTTGCTAGACCAGATTCGACCATGCTGTTCATCATATTCACGAGTTGCTGAGCTGCAGCCGATGAGGGCTCGCGTTTCGCATACAGTCCCTGGTTTCTGACTGCAAGTTCTCCAAATAGATACATCTCATACAGAGCCAATTCGAGGTCGCGCCAGTTCAGGGATTGATCGCCTTGAGATAGGCGTCCAAAGGTTCCGTTGACTAAGCGACTGAGTGTCTCGATGTAGTAAGGCTCATCGATGGCGGTTACTGTTTGTTGCAGGACGTGGAGGCGTCTGCGGAGATCGAGGAACTCTGCTTCGTCTGTCTGTTCGCCTTCCTCACCCCATGAGGCTGTCTCGTCGTACTTCATTTTTGCAATGATCGCATCTAGAACGGGTGGTAATACTGCGGCGTATTGTGGAGGTATCGATCCAGACTTCTTTTGCAATTTGCGGAGGAACGTAAGAAGATCTGTAAGAGATGGGATGACAGTCGAGCAGACCTCGTCGTATTGGTCAGCGAAGAAACGTAAAAGGTAAGGCGTGAAGATGCGAATGAGATCGTCTGCGCGTTGCCGAACATGCTCCTCGACAGCCTCGTTCTCTAGTATCTTTACGATATCGAACACGATGTTGTTCACGAGCTTAGCGACAGTCTCGGCAAGGTCGTTGTCGTAGTTCGAGCTGTTGAAATCGGCCAGAGCTGGGCTGCTGATCAGCTGGCCGACGACTTCGGAAAGATTTAGGAAAGTGATTAATTCAATCTTATCCGATGGGCTCATCTTCTTCCCGACGATCTCTGAGAATGTATCGATTGCCGCATCGCGCACCTTTCCAGCAGCGCTCTCGGGATCAGCGATTCCTTGTTGGCCCGCCATTTCCAGGAAAGTTGTGATCATGGCTTGGTTGACAATCAAGTTGATGTCGGTCCAACTAACCCAGCGCCCGATAGTCTCCAGGCACATCTTCACAAGATTCAGGTCTGTCTCCCTCCACTTCGCGAGTATTTCTTGCCAAGATAACGAGATCTTCTGCGCGTCCCGTTGCCGAATGAGGTCTTTCAGCTCTGTGTTGCGCTTCTTCTCGTCTTCTGGGCGGGCGACCAACTGGTCAGCGATTTCGTCGTGCACTTGACCGAGCATGCGAAGGTATAGCAACGTCGTGGCTGTATTGACGTTTCCGATGGTAGACTGGTCGCCAGCCAAGGCACGGAAATCGTCGAAGAAGGACTGCCACGAGGAAGGGTATAGAGCTACGAAGAGATAAGTGACAGTCTGCATCAGCTTGTTCTGGATATGGCTTGTGTCTGCAGCTCCACTGCCCGGGACGTAGGATCGGTGGATATGGCCCATGAGGGTATCCTTGATGTACGCAAGACTCTGCTCATCGAGGCGATGTTCTTGGATCGCGTTGTTCACAAGGTCGAGCGACGTATGGCGGACAAAGTCGGTGGGACGAGGGTCGCGCGCGAAGAGTGTGAGGGCAGCTTGCCATGCGGAGCCTTCGGCACGGAGCTGGTTCAGGTATTCGATAGCCTGACCGCGCAGCTCCTGGCTCGACGTCGGATTTGCGGCGATCTGGATGGCATTTTCGACCTTTGAAATGGAGTGTGAGTATATGCTTCATGGATCGGGCAAACAATGGTACGTACCTGGCCCTCCATTGCCTCGTGTTGTCAAAGCTGAGCAAGCAGGGTTGAGTCACAGGTTGAGTCGGTGTGGTCTGCCCTATAGATTGTAC